GCTTGTGTGTACATACATGCTTGTGTGTACATACATGCTCGTGTGGACATAGTTGTTAGACGCACTGATATGTGCATTTTATATTGTAGTTTTTTTTTTGAAGTTATGTTTTGGAATAGGATTTGAGTTAAAAAATTGTAGGATATTATATGGATTAATGTCATGAAAGAGTTCTTTCATGTTGGCTGTTTGGTTGGATGATTTTGTTCAACCTCTGTGGGTTATTTAATTCCAAAATCTAAATAATTTGAATACAGTTTTATGGCATCAACTAAATATATTTTGAATGCCTTCAAGATAAAATGTATTGTCATTTTGCTATAAAAATATATTGCTGCTAATTTTACTATAAACATGTATTGTTGGTAATTTTTTATATAAAAGTGTATCACTAGTATTTTTACTGTAAAAATGTATCTTTATACTTTCATAGTGTTTTGTTTTTGTTTGGGGGTGGTTCACTTTTTGCCTATTGCTGGGACCCTAACCGGTGCTACCACCCTGGATTAGGGTGGAACAGCAGCAATAAAGAGATGGTTCTATGCTCCTAAAAACCTCCAATCTCCTAATCAGAGGCCTTTCAAAAAAATCTCTTGCATTTTAATTTTGTTGGTCATTATTTTGCTTTTTATTATTTGATGATGACCATGGTCTTCACAAAAAAAAAAATGTATTTTTTGTTTGGTGTTTGTATAGTTGTATAAAATTTCAAGTTGTATTCACCAATAAACAGATTATAAACAGAAGATTAGCACTCTTACTACTTCCCAAAATCTGTAAGGTCAGTTTACCTGGATTAAAAGCAAAAAATTGAAATCCAAGTGTTATGCCCATAAATACAACATAATGCGAAGAAATGATTTTTCTTATATAGGCAAAAGAAAAACAGATTAAAATAATCATATATTTATGTACATATTAACATTTGTTTTTACATGATAAAAATTGTGTTTGTTCTGGTTGTAATCAAAGTTCAAATGTTCAACAAAATTTTCCATTTGTTAAAGGGTATTTTGTGAAGTCATATGCTTTGTTCAACATAAAATATGTATATATGTGCATGTGTCTGAAGCACATTTTAACAGAGTGTATGCATAGCTGCTGATTGAATGGGTGTGTGTATGGTTGAAGCACATTAGTACAAATATGTGTTTGAGTGCTAATATGTGAAATCTGGTTACAGTGCTTCCAAAAAGAAATGGGCATACAGATAGATGATCAGACTTACTTTCTTCCATGGCTATGAGTATTTCTTTGGGTTGGGTGAATATTCTTTGAATTGCTGACTGAGGTATTGTCATGGTAGCAAGAGAATTCTGGTTGGGTGTTTACAGATCCACTTGCCTATCATCAACAGGTGATCTACATCCAACTGTTGACTGGGATTTTTGCTGTGTGAGTTTTCTTTGCGCTCAAAATAAATGTATATATAGTTATCCTGATCATGTGATTGGCTCCAAGTGAAAGCTTTTCAGTTTACATGGGATAGCACCCAGTAGCCAATTCATTTGGAGTTCAAATGTACAGACATAGTCAGAAACATAGCACATGACTGTACTCTTCAATCAAATTCCAGAAATCACTTATTTAATTTTGGATCCTATTTTTTACTGATTTGTAAAAATGTTTTGTTTTAGTGATTCTGATTCTGTGTTTCTTACTTATTTGTGTTTCACCTATCAGTTGTAAAATAAAGAATTTTATATCATATAATCTCTTCTTTGATTCATGACTTTGAAACGGCATTCATTCTTGTTAGATTTAGCTCAGAATTTCAATGATGTTATAAGAAAAATTATGATCAGGTAACCATATAAGTGATAAAATTTGCTCCAAAGAAAATTTATAAGTGATCAAATTTTTGATTAACAAATGCAAAGTTTTTGCAATATTTGAATGTTTGTTCTTATAAGATTATCCATTATCATTCATTAAAAGGTGTGAGATGATTGTTATAGCTAAAATAATTGCAGAAAGTGTCTACAATGACAGGAATACCACCTTACCTGTCCATTGTAAAGTAGATAATAAAAGTTTGCGTGAAACAGCAAAGACAATAAAAAGAATTAGTGACATCAGTCTACAGGTAAAAATGTTAATTGTTCAAGAAATGATTGAAAAAAAAAGGGGGTAACATTCATGAATAAAGTGAGCAGTTGGCAGACACACTCACAAAGAATTGCTCATTGAGAACAAATATTTTGAAGATGCTTCTAGAAGCACACATATGAAATAAAAAAAAAGATAGAAAAATTAGAGCCTTTGTTGAGTTCAACTGTTAAGTTTGTTGATCTATATTTGTTTCAGTAAAATAGAAGAAAAAGGGAGATTGTTATGGTGAATGGAGTTACTTCCCTTGATATATAGATTCTTCAAATGAGATTACCATAAGGGAACAAGAAAAAAATTATTACTGAGTTGGAAACATAGACAAAGAGAGAAAGGTTCTGCAGGCTTAATTAACATATTGATCAAGTTCAAGTATTTTTTTTTCAAAGTTACTCTCTTTCTTTATATTTTAAAATTATTTGATAGATAAGATTTTTGTAATTAAAATAATTGTATGTATTTTTTATCAAAACAGATTAAATCCAACATAAATTGGGAACATAAAATTATTTTACATCCAAAAAAAATAATCCATTAAGAACATAATTAATTGCTTCAGTCCCTTCAGATATGGTGATTATTCTTCTGATATTTGGCCCAAAACCAAAGTTTACTTTGTATCTACATTTTAATAGTTAATATTGATTATTGACTAAGTTTAAATATATATATATATAGCCCAAAACCAGGCTATGTTAAGTGGAGAGATGAAGAATATGTTGCACTCAGCTTCCAAGTGGGTAGGCCGACTTGCTAAGAAAATAAGCACTTGACATCCTGATAGCTTACTTCAGCTTAAACACTGACTTTTAGACTAATTTTGATTTTATTCTATGTCAAGGTTTTCACAAGAAAATTGGTATTAACCAACCAATGTTAGTAAAATTTTCAAAGCATATATAATCAGTATATCATGTGAAGCTTATAGATTTCATTAAAAATATATACAATAATTTTAAGGGTATCTAGGTAGTGTAACAGATTTTGGCATGGAAAGTGGAATTGGCAATCTGAGTTCAAATGCTTAGTTTTGTTCACTTTCATACAGATATTGGAGAAAGAATGAAATCATCTCTTCTCTCTCCAGAGGGGAAAAAAGGCCACAGGTTCTATTCCTGCTAGAGGCACAATTTTTTCTTTAGTAGGATTGCAGTTAATTTTGCTGTTTAATAAAATAAAGAAAACAGGGGTAGAAACTGAAACATGTGTACCCATTAAAAATAACATTTGTCATAAGAAATATATATACAGGGTGAGGAAAAAGTTGCATACCAGAGGAGTTAATTTGAACAGCACATATAGCAGTTAAATAATTAGTAAATAAAATTTTCATGTTTAATTTTACTTTTAATAAATTATCCCTATGGTACATGACTTTTGCCTCACCTTTGAACATATACAGACTTTCTAGTTGCCTGAGGATCACAAGAGCATGAAACTTGAGTAACAACTCAAGCTGTCCTTCATGATGCGTTTTTTGCCCTCTCTAGATAGTCTAAGCATTGAACACTTCAGTTTACTGAATAGGTAAGTGTTTGCCTTTTAGTCTTTCTTTTGTCTTTCCTTGCTCAGGAATTCTTTCTTGTCTAAAGCATTATTAGGTCAACTGGCAAGTTGTCTATTGTTCACACCGACATTGTTGAGCTTTTTAGTAATTCATATGTATATGTAAATATATCTGCATACACACTTATGTAATTAGCTTTTAGTGGGGATATTATTGTGATCATATGAATTTTTTCTTTAAAGGAGATTGTTCAGTGTAAATTAGTCTTTCAAGTAGTTTGTAACACATCTATTTATCATCTCTCGGTTGCATCTCTGTCTTTGGGAAGAGTGCACTCAGGGGCAACTCTGTCAAAGGACAGAGTCACAACTGAGAAAAATTATACTCAGAGGTGCCCAGTCCAGGGGAACAGCTGCCAGAGGCCACACCCTCTCATTGCACCTGAGTGAGGGATCGGTGCTCACACCGAAGCCAGCACAACCAACGGCTGCAGGGGCTGTGAGCAATTTTTGTTCCTGGTCTGGGTCTATGCATTCAGGCTCCCCACATTAAATCAACCTTGTGTCACAACCTGACCTCGTGGGGGGTTGGGTAAATACAAAAAAAAAAGGAGATAGTTCAATGAGTTGTATACAATGCTACAGGTTAATTTAGGCCAGAGCAGTGTCCCTGGAGGGGAAACAAGACATCACATCAGCATCCTGCTACTGAAGATAAGAGAGAGGGTTTGACTCCTTTCCTTATATACTGCTTTATACAACATCATATAGCAGGCATCAAGAGAAGTACCCTGGCTGTGAAGGTGCGATAATTACTGATTTGTATTTGTTCTAAGAAAAAAAATATGAAAGTGAAATCATTATGCACTCTCAGATTTATAAGATTTAAAAGAAGTAAATAAACTGGCAATAAACACAATTCATTTACAATTACATTTACTAAACTTTATTTTGTTTAAAACAAGGTCACAAGCTTGAAACATCCAGTAAAAATAAATATCACTACAGGTCTCAAGTGGATACTTTCTCAAATGCTAACATCTTAACCTCCTCAAGTCAACATTCAGTCCACTCCTTACTTCCTAATCCTACATTTACATCAGTAAACCTCTTCATTGAGTGGCTCTTGAGCCTTCTATTAAGGGAACACTAGTAAAAAAAAAAAAATTGTAAAAGTCAGAGTTATTTATTTTTTCCTTTCCTATTCCTTTTCAGGTAAGTTGGTGGCTATAAACATCCCCAATTTGACCAAAAATGAAACTACTAACAATTTGAACCATAGAAACTCAAACAAATGTAGCATGTGTCCCTTCTCAGATCATCACTTTGTGTCCTTCATAGAAGCTAGGTGCGAGGTTGACCTGAGGGATTACTTCCTCGCTAGTGACATGCACCAGATCTCATACAATCAGTGAAGTTAAGTAATGTTGAACCTGGTCAGTATCTAGATGGGTGACCACTTGGAAATACCAGATGCTGTAGGCTTGGATGTGCTGAAGGTGTAATGGATACTGGTTCAGATATAGAAATCAGTGATCTGAGTTTCAATTCCAGTCACTTTCGTTATATTCATTTATGTGCAAATATCCTTGGGAAAGGTATGAATACACCTCTTTTTCCCTCTAAGATATGGGTTAATTAGTAGAACTTGTATCAATAAATTATTATCATCTTCAAAAAATTCTTTATATCTGAAAATAATTTCTGGCTTTAAATAACCAGCAAAAGGTTGATAAGCCATAAAAAAAACAAATCAATAAAAAAAAAAAAACTAAAACATTAACCTAAAAACTTGAGTCATGTTCTTAAATATCTATAACACATCAAGATGTTCATTTAGATGTCATGCATGGTGCCATACTTGTTCAAAAATATCTAAACTGTCAACTGTATTCAATTGCTTTCTCAGATAATTAACTAAAAATGTCTTTGAATGAATCCTGTAGGTCTTATCAAGGACCACACTCCTTCAAACCTTGTGGACTGACACTACAAAATCAGAAACAAAGAACTGTATCAGATAACAGAAACAACATCACTTGAGAACTTTCAACAGCAGCAACAATTAAAATGGCTAGCATAGGGAATTCAGAAAGAAAATAATTGTATAATCTCGATGTTTACATTCCACAATACTTCAAACAAAAGTTTGTGAAAGAAGAATCCTATCAATCAATACTGGAAAGAGCAATAACAGTTAGTTGGCTTGAGAAAACTATTTTTCTGAAAAATTGTTTTAATAGAAAGATTTTATAAATTTCAACCAAAAGTAGCACTGGTCGCTCAGTGAATAAATACCAGATTTTTCTTATTAGAAAACCACTAATATTACCAGTACCATACTGAATTCTTCAACTGATTATTTTTAGCCTCAGAAAAATAAGTTCCAACTGGAAAAAGATTAAAAGATATTCATTTTGCTAAATTTGAATTCTCTTCCTTAAAGTCTAACAATCCAATTTAACATTGGCTGTTGTTTCTTGTATTATAAGCAACATTATTTCATTAAACCTCCATAAGCCATTGTTTGCCATGTTCTTATAAGTCTTGGAGGAACAATTTAAATTTACACTTATTCACAATTACTTTCATTTTCTTCGGTTTAAATGAAAATCTGATGTTTTCGAATTTAGCTGTCAATTTGAGTTCAGGGTTTTATAGATTTTCTAAGATTATTATTTGCCAAAAAAAGGCTTTGTTTGATTTCAGTATCTCGAAAGAGGCAAACACGTAAACATATTTGGAAAAATATTAAAAAGTGTCAATTGTTCCTTAGGTAACACGTTGCTATGAATAGTCTTTTTTTTTTTTTTTCCCCAGGAATAATTTTTCATAAAATTAATATTCCTTTTGTCTTGTTTCTCAAATAAATACTAAATATTGCTCTGGTGTCATTTATACAAGGAGGTGCTAGAAAATCTTTGACTGGACAAAAAAGATTTTAAAATAAATTTTGTCTAATCACATTTAAAAAATTCAATAAATTCTTGTACATTTACAATTACAAAATATTCGGTTCTCTTGCTAAGCAACAAGCTAGTCTCAGATGTATATACTGCTTCCTTAGATTGATGATTAAAAATGGCTTCAAGTGAATGAAACATAAATTTTAGCGTCCATAAAGAAATACATAAATAAAAATGAACTGTATTGTCACAATGTTGGTCCATAAAAAAATAAATAAAAAATAATTATAGTGTCAAGAAAATAATTATAATAATCATTAATTCATTCATTTTAAACCAGTGAGAATCAACATTATTTTTCTCCTCTACACACAAACACATTTTCACTATGACAAGAGGCTCACATGGATAAGTCATCAACACAAGTGTCAATGAAAATTTCAACTCCTTTTCCTTTTCAGGCCATAATAGTAAAATTTATCTCTTAACACTCAACAAAAAGAAAATCCCTGAGATTTCTTGTATTTTTCTACTAAATTATCTGGACACAGATTTTGTCAGATTCTGATCCATATTTAATCTACATCTGACACCAAACTCACAATTTTACTCAGTATCAATGTCTCTCATTTCTCCAAACACCGCATAACAAGCAGATATTAAATGATACTTCTTTTGTTGTTTATTCCACGTCTTCATGTTTCTTATTTTTACACATATTTTTCTGTATATAAATATAAGGGGGTTTATAATTATTTAATCAGTTATAATTCCCCTACACATTTCCTTCCCTGAGAGATTTATCAAGATAAATGTAAGCATTTTATTTTGCAAATAAAATGGAGGAAAAATATTGAATTTTTAAAATTTGAAATTTAAGAACACACAAAAATATAACATACATATATATATATATATATGTACTAGTTTAAAAGTTGCCCTATCAGGCAGCATTTGAGCTAGCTACTGCAGGGTGAGGCCTTGTTTATACCTTCATCACAATAGTTAGGGAGGTTTAGAGGTGATGGGCTACAATAAACTACAGAAGAACTCAAAATTGATTGTTGCATTTATGTATTGCATTAATATTTAAGTTTTACCCATGTGATTTTTATCTATGCGGTTATATTTATGAGAATATATATAATGTCTATTTTTTCTTTGTCACACATACACACACACTTATATATATATATATATATAGTGTGTGATCAATGTAAAATATAAGAAATATACAAAAGAGAGCTAAAATAAAAGATCAGTGAAACAATACTAATATGTTATTGCTTTCCACCACTTAATGTTTCAAGTGGACACTTATTAGTAAGAAACTGAATATCTTGTCACTCTTACCACCTGATGATTTTGAGACAACAGTATCAATATCTCAGTGTTAACATCAAACTTTAAGTGAAAGCAGTAACATATAAGTATTGTTTTACTTATATATATCGATGGATAAATAGTAGGATAGACTGGGTCCTATAGCCATGGATGGCAACCTGTCTCAGTGAAGTACAACTTGGAATTCAAAACCTAAAGAGGGTCATTTGGGGACCTTCTGATACTCTTCCAAAAAGTGTGGTCAGTTCTGCACAATCCTTAAACCCATAATCAAATCATATATGTGAATAGTCTGGCTGTTCATTTCTAAGAACTGAACTGGAGCCTCATACATTGAAGACAATGAGATAGTCCATACACACACACACGTGTGTGTGTGTGTTTTATATAATCATGTCTCTCTATATCTCATATATATATATATATATATATATATATATATATATATATATATATATATATATATATATATATATATATATATATATATATATATATAGTTGGTATGATGTTCGCTTTTGTAAAATTTGGAACAGTTGGTATGATGTTAAGCTTGACAACCTAACTGTCAGGGTTTCAATTCTCGGTAGTGGATGCACACTGCTGATGAGTCCCAAATATAGGATGAAACAGCTGTCCAGTGCTTTCTGCATTCTGTTGAGGTTTCTATCAGACTCGATGAATTAATTAAATATATATATATATATATATATATATATATATATACACACCCCACGAAATCACTAAAAACTCAGCATACCATGATGAAAACATGCACCAAATGTAATAGTTTTACCATCAGAATCTCTGTTATTATTGCCAAAGTCTTTGTTATTATTAAGAGAAAGGATCAAGGTATTTTTTGTAATTTTTACTCCTTTTTAGAACCTTCAAAATTTTGATTAAAAACTTGTTTTCCTTGCATCAATGGATGTAGTAAATTCTACACTCGTTTTTGTGGTGACAGACATATCAATTTTGGAATTCTTGCAAGAATCAAATAATTGTCGGATTTTAATTAAATTTTCAGAACTTATTCACAAATGAATGAAATTATTTATGAAATTATTTTTATTAGAAAATCTTGGTAAAAATATTTTTTTTGCATGTGTTTCAACCACTTACTTAATTTGATGAAAACTTGAAAAATTCAACATGATAATTTTTAGTGACTATATTAGTTAAAAGCAGAAATCAGTTTCTATAATGTAATTTTTAGGATATTACTGTTATTGAGTAAAAAATATTTACCAATCATAAATTGTAAAGCTTATTACAACACTAACGGTAGAGCCCGGCGTTGCCCGGGGATGTAACAGTAAGAGATAGATCAAGTATCGACCATCATAAAGACTGAAAAATAAAATTGACAAAGATTATTGTTTAAGGTTGACGGACACGCATGTCTTAATTAGTTTTTTTCTTGTTTTTTGGGGTTTTTTTTACGAATTGGTCAAACCCAAACTCAAACAAAAACATTGTTTTCAATCGTTATGAGTCTAGCGATTAAATAGAATTTTATTATAAACAATTGTCTTGTAAATGGAATTTTTAAAGCATTCTGAATGTAAAAATAAAGAAAAAAGTGTGCAAGACAATAAGAAACACTACCTGCCAAAAAAAAAAGTGAAGTTTTGTTGAAATTGGTTGAAAAATTTAGGAAATCTGATCCCATATATAAATGAACACACACACACAAACAACCTGGGTTTTATAATAAGTATGACTCGATATGAGTTGTCCCTCTTTCATTCTTGTGATGCCTCTTAATCGTGTTTTCAAATTGATTTTGTGCAAAAACAATTGTGTTTTTCCAATTTTTGGTGCTGTTACAATCACCACAAGGTAATTCTACGTAGTCCTGTGAAGTTTTGTTGAAATCGGTTGAAAAATGTAGGAAATCCGATCCAATATATAAACGTACAGACGCACACACACACACACACAATCTGCATTTTATAATAAGTAAGATGACAACTCCGAATATTTTTAAAAAGAATTTTGATTTTTTTTGTGTTTAAATTTTTAAAAGACCTAATTTTTCTATGTATCTTTATTTATACATGATATTATCATCAAAAGATCACGTTTTAAGGGATGTTCCCACTTACAGAAAAAAAAAAACTCATATAAAATTTATCATCTGCTATTATCAATTCTGTGTTACTATATTTAACTTGTCAACACATAGGGCTAGCGATTAATTGAACGATACATCAGAAAAACAAAATCC